CCACGTGTGCCTAAATTAAGACCGGCCAATAATGTGGCTCAAATCTTAATACAAATGGCGGGAACTCCTTTGCAGCGTGCATCACTATAATGCAAGAGAAATGCACAATGCAAAGAAGGCTACAAAACAGCGGGAAACACTTTTCTGCACACGGGTTCTCTATAACAACAGAACACTCCGTCGTGCAAAAGAGCTGCAATTCGGCGGGAACATAATTTAGCGGTGCCGAAGCACACACAATCAAAAAATCCACAACTTTGGGTTGTGACAAAGGTTTAATCACATTGTTTCCCAAAGTGATGAAGAGTTTACAGCCACTAACCAAAGAGTGGATGAAATCCTGGGACCACAGAAGTTAAAGTCAATCTCCCATTTAATGGAGCTAAGATTTTGCCCATGATCTATTCTATGGGCAAAATGCAAAGTAAAACACCTAATCACAGACCAGTATCAAACCAGGCAGCCCTGCACAGCATTACTACCAAGGTCTCATTCTTTACCTGGGATGGCCATCTCCAGAGATTACTAATTTAATTATATTCATCTCTGAAAACCTAGGAGATTTGAAAATGAAATGTCTACTCTGATGTAGAGGGCCAGAATCAATAGCCATTAAGTGAATGAAGACATTTGGAGTATGTGAGTGTCTAAGCTACTCTACTCCATCACCAGTGCAGTTCATTCGGATAATACTTAGGAGCTAAGAGACAGGCAGAATCATTCATCATCCCAATACATCTTGGGTGACCACAAAACTGACACAGACAGTCCACATCCTCAGGTGGCTTATAAATGGAGTTTGCCTGTGGAAAGGGTGAGCAGAGCTGAGAATCTGGCTCACTGATCTGTGCAGATGAACACAAGATGCAGTGAAAAAGTATGAAATAGCAAAATAATGCTTTAGCTGTTCCTGAAAAGATGTTTTTTGCCCATCTATCTCCACTATAGTGAAAATACTGTTGCTTTGTGGGACATAATGAAGCTAAGGTTCCAACGTAGCAGCTTCAACTGCAGTATTAATTGGGAATGTGTGGGATAATTCTGTAGAAATGTCTCCCTTACCTCTTTCCCCAAACCTTAGGGTTTCATACTAAACAGAACAAATCACATCCTTAGCAATTCTGCTCTGCTTTGTACAGCTGCATGCTGCAGGTGGTGCCCTAAAAATATGTTTGTTTATTTTGCATCACTGCAGGCTGCAAAGCTGCACTTAAAAATGAAATAGATTCCTCCCTCTCCCCCTTCCCCTGCTCTCCCAATCCCTTAAACATGATTGAAGGCAGGTGATGAATAACTGAGAACAAGTGATAACATTTAGGCTTGGTATGAAAGGATCCAAACCAGAATTGCTGGTTAAAGCAGTGAAGAAAAACTGACAAACACAGTGTCTGGCTTTGAGATTTTTCATACTGTTTGATTCCAGAGAGGCAAGCCATGCATGGCAAATTCACCTGAAACCTCCCTAATATCCAGGTGAAATCGTTACAATTGTTTCAAAATTGACAACTGTAAGTATAAAACACAATCAGTCAACAGCAGAGCAGAAATCAATACGAAAAGGTGAAGATGGTGACAGGATAAATATAAATTGGCATAAAGTGACTATTGTAAGTATTTCTAATATACTTGAATATCACAGTAAATAAGCACCAGATTAGACAAATTAGATCAGACCTTGTTCTATCCTGGTACGTCCCTGATAACTGCTTCCAGCTTGGAGGTTTTTACAAGGTGATATGCTTTCGGTTGCTCAGGATATTGCAAACATTATTCAGAATTTTTTTTGTTGTTCCTTTAAAGTTACCTGCTGTACATTAGGACTTAGGTCTTGCTGTTTGTTTATACTGCATGAAATTCATTCCTCTGCAGAGCTCAGCATACAGTCCATGCATTGCTTAAATCTCCTGCCCCCAGTCTTCAAAGTGGATCTTATGTAGGATGTTAGTGATGTACAGAATTTAGACTGCCATCTGCATAGAGATGAACCTCTTATCTTCTGAACCTTTAACATTCAGGGTACTTTAGTGTTTTCTTTTAAAGGAAAAGAAGCATTTTATGAAAGAGAACTCTTTAGAACTAGCATCACTATCGATTTGCCCTAAATTAGTAGCAGCTCTTATAAATTACACAACATAACATTATTTGGCTTGCTGTCACCAGGACACTGCCTGGTAATCTTTAGGAAGTGCTTAAGAGAGAGCTGTTTTCTTGGGAACTTTGAGTTCTGTGGAGCTTGAATGGTGCATCACTATAACTAAGTTTCCACCTGCACAACTCTGAGCTACTTCTAGTTACTGGGTGTACAACTACAGGTCTCTCACCTCTGTTAATCCATATTATCTTTCAAGTACACTTTTAACCAACTATTTAACAGAAGAAAGGTCACACATGCACAGCTCAAACTTCTTTGTCTGGATGCTTTATGAGCCTTGTAAAATGACTGCATACACTCAGTATGTCATTTTCCAAGTCTGATAAAAGTCAGTTCTAATTAGAATTATTTTCTTTCTTCTCAGAGACTTTTTATCAGTAGGCAGTAAACAAGAAGCAGCAAAGCCAACATCCCTAACAGCGCTAAGATCAACATTCATGTCATAGTGGCCAGAAAATATAAGGAAATCAACGTTAAAACAAGTAACTAATTCATACATGATGATTTATTACTTTATGGTTACAGTGCAAGATTCACTTAAGTGCCCATAAAAGAGAATTGAAAGGAAAGATTAATTTCTTTCCTCCAACCAGGGGTAAGCCTGAGCCAAGGCTTGGAGATTAGGTTGTTGAAAATAGAAAAAAAGTCTTCTCTTAACGTTGTGTTGCATGCCACCCACTAGTACCAGTAGTTCCTCTGTTGCCTAACTCATTTATCATTACTGAGACTCTACGTCCATGTTCCTATTACTGAAACTGTATTCACATTCAGAACCCTCCTTATGATGTAAGGAAAATGTTTAAACAATAGACTATTGTATAGTCCAATTGGATGGTTTGGAAAACTCACTACATATTTGTTATCTCTCTTCTTACCTATAATAACTACATCCATAGTAACATGAATAGCAAGAAAAGATGCAGCTAGTCTGGGTTACATAATGCTGAGATCTCTGATACTTTGTCATTTTGTACTATTTCCTTGGCATGAAAAGGAAGGCCTTATCTAGAAATACAGCTGTGTTCAGACACTGACATCATGAAACTAGTTGATGTACTGTACATCCTGTTTCTCTTAATGGCAACGGCACCTGTATTGAACTGCAGTTTTCTTTGCTCGTAACTTATTCTTATCCATAAAACCAAGTTAGAAAAATAAATCTAAATCAACGTCAGATATCAGCCTGAGCTATATAATTTGAGACTGAATACTTGTGACGACTTTGGCCAAGAATATTACTTGTTTATTTTTATTGTTTTAGGTTACACTCTTCGTACCAGAAAACGATGTTAGGGGACAAGAGGTAGTTTTGCCCATTTTAGGAAAATAATTTCTGATTGGCCAGTTGGGTCATAAGAGAATCATGCTAATTAGTCTGTGGTTTGCACTGAAAATTGAGTCCCTTATTGCTATTTGAAAGTAATCAGCATAAAGCATTTTGTGACATGACTGTATGAAAGGTGCTAGAAAATAAATGCAATTGTACTCTATTATATTGGATTGTATTGTGAAAATGAACTGTAAGAAAGACTTGCGGAAATGAGCACTGGTAGAGAAGATGACTGTGAACACTTACTGCAAGGAAGATCTGAAAGGAACTGTGAGCCACTTCTATGTACTGGTATTCAAGCAAACACCCTGAGACAGTGATGTAGCGGTGATCTTCCGGTGCCCAATCTGGGGCTGGGGTTACTGATGTCACTGTGCAGCCTGGCCCATTTTCCATCCACCAGGAGCGGTGCATTGAGATATTAAAGGTCAGAATGAGATCTGTTTCCTGCAAAAGAGAAAAGGAAGATTATAATTTTGGAACGGTACTTGTGTGTCAGTGCTAATATCACTTCCAGCTGTTCACATAGATATCACACAGCAGGCATAAAGAAAGTTACATCAGAAAATTATTGGAGAAATCTTATCCCCTGTGGCAAGCCTGAGTACCTGGGGCTTGGACTGTAGAGGTGGGTTGAATGGGGGCTGGAGGAAAGTAATCCTTCAACCCAGGCTCTGTTGCAGGCAGTAACTGTGGCCTGGGGCTGTCATAGGCCAGTTACTGCTGTGCCTACACTGCAGTGACTGATGGATGTGCATAACAGAAGATCCACCCTCTCCATCCTGACTCCTTGTAGTTTGTTCCTGCCCTAATTCTCCAAGCCCTGCAAAAGCACAGTAGAAAATCCCCAGGAGCTGGGCTTCATGGAAGTGGTGGAGGAGTATGGACTTGTTGCAAGAACAGTAAAATCTGTCTAATTATTACTAGTTAGGCATTTTGTGTGAGAAATATTTTACAACGCATACTAAGACTCCATACAGAATGATTTTTGCCATTTTTAATGAAGAAACACTATAATTTTGACTGCAAACAGTACACATACTGTGTTGCTCTATGAGAATTCTGCACATTCATGAGCTTTCAATTTACCTAGTTTTTCCCCCTAATATAGCTTTCACTTTCCTGGTCAGTGCCATGATTCAATGGGCCTTAAACCTTATTACTATTGCTGTTAATGCTGAATCATGAGCTGGGATTAGGCCTGCCAGCAGTGGGCCATGTGACTTAATGTGACCACTGGTGAGAGAGCTTCACACATTACATTCACTTGCTGGCTGACAGCTTACTAAACTATTAGTTCAGTAACAATTAAAATGACAAATTACCATGAGGAAATTCAATTTACTACGTGTATAGCTTGTATTAGGTTTTACTCCGGGTATGTACAAGCCTAACATTTATATCAAACTAACCAGGGTTAGGTCAATCTAAATGCCCACTCATGCAGGATTTTGGAGGGTTTAATTTGGCCAAAAAATGGTGCACCCAATCTAAGTTAGTTCACGTAAAGAAGTGAATCTAGGAAGGGGTTAACCCAGTCTCTTGAATGCCTGCATGCATTCGCAGCATAATCCCAGGGCTGGGATAACCCATCTATTTGCCCCAGCCCTGGAGCTGAGCTAATACAAACCCCAGTCCCTAACCAGACTATCTTTGGCCCCCTGACTCTCCCACGACCAGGCAACACCCCTGCAAACCCCGTCTTCATACCCACCATTTCTCTCTGTATCTGCCAACTTTCCATGAGCCTGCCAGCCCTACCAATCCCACCATCTCCTCTTCCCACCCAGAGTTATACCTTGGGCTGCCTGTGCCAGTTCCGACAGTGGTGAACAGCTGCACATGCCGCTCCCAGGAGCAGCGAATGACTGTATGTGCTGCTTCTGGTCTAGGTTTAGGTGGCTTAAAGTGAGCTTCCTAAACCTAGACTGGGTGCAGCATATGCTAGTTCACATCCCCAGTAACCAACAAATAAAACCAGAGTGCCTACCTATCCCAGTGATAAATTAACTAGATTTCACTGTACTCCTACAAATCCTAACCTGTCCAACCCTGCAGGAGGACCACATCAGTTCCACTTTGTATGAGAGTCTCTTCAATTGTGAACAAGTTGAGGGGGGAGGGATAGGATTTGCCTTTGTTATGTCATTATAGATTTCCTAGATTTCACTTCTAAATTCCGTTGTGTTTCACAGTCTTAGCCTTTTATGTTGGCAAAGCAAATTGCTTGCAGAGAGGTTTTTTTTGCAAGTAAGTAGTTTTTGTCTATTGCCTTGTCCAAAGAGTACAGGGCCTAGTGAGATGGGAAAACAGTCTACAAATCCCTCACAGCCAGGACACAGTAGCTTGTGCAAAGGATATTGAGTCAGTTATGCTTTTCCTTAAGGTTATATTTATAAATAGTTTATAAGAGGTTAATAAATGATTAATACATATCATAAGCATATTATGGACATGAATGATATGTACTAAGAGCTGGTTGCACGCATATCAGTCAAAGGTGTAAAAGCCAGTTAGAAGTAATCTATCAGAAGCCTGGACTCCATAACAACCTATGACATTAACCCGTTATAAACTATTGATAAAAGTAACCTCATTGTCAAGTGTGACCATCTATTTAAATCAGCATGTATGCTCAGTCATGCAAGTAAAAATTCCCTGTGAGAAATGTCTTTTCAGAACCAAACTCTCCCCTATGTTGCCCTGAGTAACCTACATTTTTCAGACTGTAGATAATATTAATAATTAAGATCTTCATAAAGATTTTAGAGTGTAACTATTTAACAAGGTTTACCATAGTGATCCGAATATAACTATTCACAGATACACATGTGAATTTTCCCATGTCCTGAAGAATATACATTTTTTCAGTTTAAATGATAGGCTGCCACTTTTTGCATTAACTCAACCAAAGCTAATTCTATCCAGAAGATTTTAGTATAATTTTATGATTGATATATCACTCTAGGATTGTATGTGGCATCACCATACTGATTAATGTATTTAAAAAAATAAGTCCTGCCCCAGATGCAGTGATGATACTTCTGTGTTTGTCTTTTAAAATCAATTACTAGTGTGAACTCACTCAACCAACTACCACATGGTAGGACTAGCTGTATATGGTTTTGTAGTCAATAAAAAGAAAATCATACAATCCCATAAACCTCTGGACATGTAAACATTCACCATTATGAATAGTGCTTCATTAGTATGAAGTGAATGATACTACTCACAGTAGTAAGTTCTAGTAGTTAAGTTTGAATGATCAGATCACCATGTGAACATATGCACAAACAGCCCAGACCTACCAGAACAAGATGCTTTCAGGTCTGGTGACCTGACTCTAAGCGGTGCAGTTTAATATGAAAAGCATCATAAGACAACCTTTGCATTAGTAAAAGCAGCCAAACAAGGAGTGTAACTTAGGAGCAAAGTCAAGTGCAAGCAGGTAGAATGAGGATGGCATACAGAAAAAGAGATGTGCTGAACAAAGTCACACTTGTGACCACAACCTAAGTTTATACATAATTGAAAATTTAGTCTGTGGGGAATATTTTGGTATAGATACAAGGGGGTTGAAGTGCAAGACTTTTTCAAACAGATACACAATACTAATATTTTCTACAAAATGAAAACAATTTTTTCACAATACCTCCCAGATAGTCCCAATGCTCTAAAACAATGTCCAGAATGATGAATACTCTCTTTGTGGCTAGAATTTCTGATTGGGGGACACACTTGATGACCTTTTCCTCACAAGGAAACTGGAAACACATTGTCTAAAAATTTGCCATTGGGTCTGATACTCTTCTCAAATGCACTGATAATTCTAGAGTGAGATATATAGAAGTCCAGCAAAAAAGGGGAAGCAGCTTAGGTAGACTAATGCAACACTTCTGTTCACCAATCCTGGGCTGAATCAGTGGCTGGGGTGGTCCAGCAGGCATAACTGGGGGGCTGTTTGTATTATGGTAGCCTTCTGGCTCCAGTGCTGCAGAACAACTCTCTGACCTCAAGTTCCATATGTGCCATACCTGCATGAGGGCTCTCAAAACAGCCTGATGGTCCTCAGAGCACAGCCTTCCCCACCACCTGCCCTATGGGATCTTCTCTTCGTTGGAAGCAGGGACATTGAGACCCCTTTTTGGTACATAGGCCTCTTGTAAAATGCCTAGAATATAACATCCTAGAGTGTCTTAATCTAGTGGTAGTCTAATAATATGATGGAGATCAAAATCTACCACCTTTTTGTGAGAAGACCCTCCCCCTTTAAATCATCCTATTTATTGAAGGAAAATTGTAAACTCTCTATTTTTTTTTTTATTCAAAGCAGCTGGAAGAATGAATAGGATAAATTGTTTGGTGTTATTTGATTGTTTGCAGCACAATTACAAGTATCATAATTGAGTAAAAATGCTTAGCAAAATAGAAACGAGTAGACCAAATGGCCTCCTTCAAGAAAAAAGTGCATTTGGCCACCAAGTACTGTTTTTAAATTTCTTTAAAATGGGTCAGGACTAGCTGGACACAGAGGAGCATAATCCTACTGAGTATATCCCCACTCATTTCAATGGACTTGTGTTTGATTACACACAGCTTTGCTTTTCCAAAGACTTATGAATGAGAAGTGGAAGTAAATTTAAAAAATGCATAGACAATATAATTACACATTAACATCTGCATAATCACATATGCAAATAAGCCACTGCATGTTCCAGCAATATTCTGTCCATGAAAATATCCCCAGAAGATTCACAAATTCAAGATTTTATTATGCAAAATATTTTTTTTGCAAAATTATCATTTTTTAGTTGCCATTTTAGTTGAAAGTTGTGATTTATACCACACAAAAGTGCTCTAGTCAAAAATAGCTTTTTGGGGCTCATAGTAGAAAGAAAAATCTTGAGTTAATGTGCAGTGCAAGAGTGGGTGTTAATAGATCTATTTCTGACTTTACAAAACATTTCCTATGGGACCCTGATTTACCAAGTAAACCAGACAAATATCCTTGTTTGTTTCCCTCATTTCCAGAACGGGATGACACCCTTCTCACAAAAGTGCAAGATGGCTTAATTCCTTAAATGTGCATCTCCTCCTGAAGGCTTTCTGTGTTCCTTAGATAAAAGTCACTACATTAACGTTGAGTGCCAGTAGGATTTTAAAATTGTAAATCTAATGAGTCATCAAAGAACTTTTAGAAGGCGAAAAAAACAGACAATTGATTGTGAGCCCTGTTTCTGAAAACATCTCCACATATTTCTTGACAAATCTCGGTGTAATAGGCTCTCCCAGGTTACAAACAAATGTTACATCCTGGGATATATCATTTTGTCCCAGGACAAAGTACCTCTCTCAAATCCATGGCCGTTATCCATGTCTGTTGTCCTGGGACAAATCCTAAAAAGGTTCACAGGATAAGATTTATTAATGGTTATCCCAGGACATTG